TCTGCCAAATAGGAATTGAAGGTCTCTTACAATACTCATTCAGTGTACTGAAGAAGAAATTAGTGTTTCTACACAAATTTAAAAAAAAGAGAAAAATGTTGAATGTGCTAGGAGATGTCTGCCTCTCAAGAGCATGAGGCTTGTGCTTACGGCAAATTGTATTCAATGATGCGTTCACTGTACAAACGCATGACAGCAAAGGCATCTATAGCTATTTGATGACTGACACAAAATCCTGCCAATATGGAGGTCAAATCAGACATCCCCAGGCAATTATTCTCATTAAAAAAGTAAGAAGGGCCGAAATTACTCAGGCGATCGCTATTGTTCTGCCGAGACAAGGCAGAAACAGGGAAAGGACTGCTGTGCACAAAAAAAAGATTGCAGGTGTATACACATATATGTAAAAAAAATGGTTTGTCAGTTGGATCAAGTGGAGACACAATCTGACAACCATGTTATGTCTACAACCAGCTCAATGTGATGCCATTTTCCAGTCAACTATTTTAACATGAAATCTCAACAAATTATGGAGTTATGAAGTTTTACTGTTCAGTGTTAGAAAATTGGTGTGTTATTTAAAAAGCACTTAACCCTTGCAGTGTGATGGTAGCCCCATTGCAAGGCTTAAGATTTCATATGCCCAGAGTACTTCTTTAAAACCCAGACATACCTTTCTTATAAACTTGATCATGGAAAGCAGAGCCAAAAATATGGCCTACTTTGTATTTATTACCCATCTAGTTCCTAATGTCTTTAGGGGCTTATGAAATACGCAGAGCCCAACAAGAAAAAAACTCAAATCTTCTGTATTGCAGGTGGAAACTGTGGACACCTCATCTGCTGTGTTTATGTAACTATAGAGAAAACTGAGAACTGCTGAATATCTGCATAAACTCAGAATTTAAAGCCCCTTCCACACGAGTGCCATCAATTCTAATCAGAAGGGGATCTGTGCACAGATCCCCTGCTGATCAGAACAGTATGGAACGGATGTAAAAATGTGTGACACTTCACACATAATTAATTAATTATCCAATCATGTAAAGAGAATCCTTATTTCTGCACAATTAAAATAAACATTTAAAAAAAGTTTTGTTGTAAATGCCCACCTCCTCTCTGGTGCTGTCCCCCCAACCCACGAGCAATCCAAATCCACACTGGGTAATATACTCTGTGTCATTCAATCCAGAAGACTGAGGACATTCTGTGAGTAAAAGGTGGCAAAGAACTGCCGCTTGAAGAGTCATGGCCAAGGCACCTACATTCACATACAATGATTCAGAGAGCAGTGCTTCAAAGAGTGGGGAGACTGTAGGCCAGGGAGAATGCGCACACAAATGTGCTTGATTTACATTGACACTAAATTCTGGAATTAGATCATATAAATACATTAAAGTACTTTAACTATTAACAAAAATGTATCTTTTTTGTGTACCACTCAGCTGTAGATCCTCAAATCATCTCTGAATTGGTGCTGACACTGTCCTTCCTTCTGGAGGGTGGCTACTTTTGTCCCCCATGGTCCCTGTGTGTGTTGTAAGTAGTCACCGCTGCAAGCTCGCTCCCGTGATGGACTACAAACGCAATACAAATGAGTAAACTAAATGTGAGATTGTAGTCCATCACAGGAGTGAGCTTGGAGCAGTGACTACTTTACAACACATACAGGGACCAATAGGGGAACAAAATTAGCCCCCCTCCAGAAGGAAGGACAGTGTCAGCACCAATTCAGAGATGCTTTGAGGATCTACAGCTGAGTGATACACAAATAAGGTCCAGTATTGTTAATAGTTAGGGAACTTGAATGCATTCTTAAGATTTAACTCCTGAGTTTAGTGTCACTTTAAAACAAAATAGTCTGCTATGCTGACCTCCATTCCAGCGTTGCGAGCTCCCTCGCCAACACTCAGTTCCCTTGCTCTTCCTCCGAGTTAAAGATGTTACGCAATCTCAATTGGCCAGCCCAAGGTATTGTAATCCCCACACATGTGCATGAGAGTTAATTAATCCTGGTACCTACATATGGTGAGAATGTACACTGAGCCACGCATACCCAGTGTACATTTAAAAGCAACACCTATATGTTGCTGGAGGTATGTTCTTGACCATATTGTGATGCTGCTTCTTCAATGGAGGTAAAGGATGCAGCTGTATAGTCTGTTATGGGTGCTGGGATCACAAAACTGGCTGTACAGGGTTCAAAACCTTTGGCAGATACAACATCCAGAAATATATTATAAGAGGCTAACAAGATTACTAGATCTTTCTACTCTTCCACACAATAACAGAGAGAAAACAAGCCAGTAAGCCTGAATAACTTTAAGACGTGTCACAGATAACATGAAACTTTGATTGGTCAACACCATCAGTTACTATCTTGTGATATTTATCAAGAACCAAATGCACATCTTATGCTAGCCAAACACTGCTTAAATCTTGACTGCGTAAGCAGGCCTCAAGCAGTGTGTGGCCCCAACAGCACCCCTCCCATTCACAAAATGACAAAATGATTTTTCAATTGACTTTTGCCAAACAAGCCGGTGCGAAAAATCTGGGGCGAACAATGATTGCAGCCCCCTCCCCCCCAACTATTTGGCCTTCAAGGAAAACGTCATGTCTGGAGCAAACCCAAGACCTCTCATCACCCGAGAACACCATGTTCCGTGTACTGTGGGGATGTTTTTCAACGGCAGGCACTAGCAAACTGGTCAGCATTGCAGGAATGATGGATGGCACTAAATAAAGGGAAATTCTTAAAATTTAAGACTGGGAGGTTCACCTTCCACCAGGACAATGCATAGTACTAAAGCAACACTCGAGTGGTTTAAGGGGAAACATATAAATGTCTTGGAATGGCCTAGTCAAAGGCCAGACCACAATCCAATAATTGAGAATCTGTGACATGACTTAAAGATTAACTAAATGTGCCGAGCTAAGACAATGATCAGATATAAAGAGTAAAAAAAAAAAAATTAAAAAAAACAGTGACAAACAAATGTCAGTGAAAAAAAAATCAATCAGGTGTAAAGTCTTTAAATCTTCATAAATCCGCGAAAGATGTCCAAATATAGCAATAGTGATGAATATTACTTGTTCCTTCACCAAATGCACCACGTGCACCACACCAGATATAGGGGTGCTCACCTTATTGATAGACCCCAGCAAGAGGTCAAACCAGGCAATTCCCTTCTTAACCAGGGGAGGGGGCCCTCAGCTCCCATACCACGTGTCTCTAATTGTCTATTACTGTCCTTGTAGCTGTTAGCTTGCTTATTGGCGCAGTTCATTCTTTATATTGTATTAATGACTTAAAGATTGCTATACACCAGCTGAAGCCATCCAACTTGAAGGAGCTGGAGCAGTTTTGTCTTGAAGAATGGGCAAAAATCCCAGTGGCTAGATGTGCCCACTTACTAGAGATGTACCCCAGGAGACTTGCTGCTGTAATTGCTGCAAAATGTGGCTCTACAAACTGTTAACTTTGGAGGGGTGAATAGCTATGCACGCTTGTTTTCTATTCTTTTTTTGTCTTATTTCTTGATAGAATCACAATAAACAATATTTTTCAAAGTGTTGTGTAAATTAAATGATACACCCTCCCAAAAATCCATTTTAATTCCAGGTGCTAATGCAACAAAATAGGAAAAATGCCAAGGGGTGAATACTTTTGCAAGCCACTGTGTGTAATCATTTTGTTATATTGAAAGAAATACAAAGGCTACCTTTCTGGGAAAAAAACCCAAAGACTTACTATAAATAGTGCTTAAGTACAACAGCTTTTTAGAATACAAGCCCCTCTGGAGTCTGGGACCACAGGCATCAGCCCATTCTGCTCCTATTATAAACACGCCAGTACCTGATGGTGTTAACACTGAAACAGTTGAGTTACTGTCACAGTTCTGAGTTACTGTCAGGCTGCATTCACACTATTACAACCCACTGTACATATAGGTATATGTCCTTCCATTTATTTTGAATGTCACTCCAATATACATGTAGAGTACGTGGAAGCACACAGATATGAATACTCTGCTCATGCAGCAGAACTCACACAATTTGCTGCATGCAGATGCATTTCTAGTGGGAATCCCATTGGTTCCTGTGTGGTTGGTTTACATTGATGGGCCGCAGTTTAGCGTGAAAGGTAAACTATATGGGCCCATTCACACCTACACCATGCGGGCCACATGCAGTCAGAACAGTGTCTGAGGTATATTGACAGCTCATTCAGTGGGTTGCCTTTACCCCACAATCCATGCACAAGTGTAAATGGGCCCTCAGAGAGAGTAAGGAGCAGAAACTATTACCAATAAATGACATCTGGATTTCTGAGTCATGTGTAAGGGTTGCAGATGACCCATATAGCCTGTGTATGATGCTCAGTGCATAGTGTGTCAGACATCCTTCCCCAGGAACAGCCATCATGGGATGTCTAGGGACAATGCTAATGAATGGCCATCCTAGGAGCCAGGCGACAGTGCCACACACGGATACAAAGACACAACAGAGCGCTGATCACCGTGCTCAGAGCGAGGTGGGATACAAGTGATGACATAAGAGATCAGTAATAACACATGTAGACAGACATGATCAAATCAATGACGCAGCCCGACACACAACTGCTAACAATCCCTATCACACACAGTCACAGGGGCCCCCGATTATGTCCCCAAACGTCTCGATCCTCACTCACCTCCCACTTGCAGCCTCTCACTCGCGATCTGTCACACTCACCGGGTCACCCCACCGGAAATATCGTCAGCCCTGTCACTACACCCCACCCCTTCTCACTGACGTCATCAGGACCCGCCGCTCATTCAGCACCGGTTTCGGAGTACGCGGAATCCCCCCGGGTGTCACACGAATACCACAGCGGTGTTCGTGCAGTGCGGGCTAGAATACGGCGCTAGAAGGGTGTACGGTGTGGGATAAAGGAAACAAAGCGGGGACGATGAGCGGCTCTGACGTCATGGGGGAGCGACGTGTGCGGATCAGGAAGCTGCTAGTGGAGACCAACGTGTGTTCTGGTGCCGGTGAGAGCCGCTTCTTTCTTCATACTGCCGTTCCCTGTCCGGGAAGCCTACCGTACTCCAGTCCCAGGCTGCGCTCCACTGTATGCTATCTATTGGGAGGCTTTTTATAAGAATATGTTATATCAATAGGGTAGCCTCATTTTTCATGGAGTCTGTTTGTCCTGCTATTTACTTGTATGCGCTCCCTGTCAGAGCGGGGGCTTCCCTATACGCTGTGTTAGGTCCTGAGCCAGCAAAACACTTACAATTGACGTTATAGACCAGGGGTGCCCACTATTTTTCGTCTGGAGATCTACTTTTCAAATGACGAGCTCAATGAGATCTACCAACAAAAAAACACCTGCATTCAGTGGCGGGAGGGGGCGTGGTGGTGTATTTAAGTCACTGGCACTGCAGACAAGCACCTCGCCCACAGTGCGATCGCCTGCACATTAGTGCCTGTGTTCCAGTCCAGTGCAAATGCTGCAAGCACTATTTTTGCAGATCGCACTGGACCGGAATGCAGGCACTAATGTGCCTGCGTTCCGGGTGATCGCACTGTGGGCGGGGGGCATGGCTTCGGTGCCATTGACTTCAATACAACCCCACACCCCCTCCCGCACCTGAACGCAGGGAGTCAGCTGGCTTACATTCCAGTGCGTCCTGTCCTCCCGTGGGGCTCGTGTGGCCGACGTTGCACATGGGGAGAGGTGTCCCGCCCCTTTCCCTCTGCAGCGTCTGACACATTCAGCCGCACGAGCACCGCGGGAGCCTAGCCGTAGCCAGCTCCTTTTGCGCCTGGGGCAAGAAAAAACAGTGCCCCTCGCCCCCCCCACAGGCATGTGACGTCACTCAGCGCCCTGCCTCCAGGATATTTTATTTCTTTTTTATTTTCTTATTTCATTTTTTTTTACTCTTGGGGGGCTTCGGGGAAATATTAGGGGTCTAAATAGCCCCCTGATATTTCCCTTTTAAAATAGAAAAAGAAATTGAGGACACAAAGTCCTCAATCTCTTTTTCTGCAGCCTCTGTTCTAAATGAATGGAAAGCAAAGAGGCTTCCTATTCAGAAAATATTTTACTATCATCCAGTTTCTGAATGGGGAGGAGCCTCTGTACAGAGTGCTTTTCCCCATTGAGAAACTCATGAATGAACAAGAAGTGATGTAAATCACATCCTGTTCATTCATAACTGGGGACACATAGTACTATGTGTCCCCAGGTATTTACAAACACTGGAGTGATCAGACGATCGCTCCAGTGTTTGTCCTGCACAGAAGGTGGGTACATATCACTGCCGCTCGGCCACGCACACAGGGGCTCAACTTCTCCTCTGGATCCCCCCTGCTCTCCCAGGCAAAGGCAGCGGGGGATCCTAGAGCGACTCCGGAGCCCCAAATACTGGGCTGCATAGTATGCGTGTGGCAGTCTTTCTGCTTTAAATGATGACTGTACTTTTGGGGCAATTCTTTGCTCACCCTGTGATTTAAGTGCTAGGGAGTGCTACCCATGCGGTTGCAGGTAGTATAGGTCAATTGCACAAATTTGGAGCTTTGTGCTATTAGCCATTAGTTGCTACTACATACTACACGCCATTGTTCCCTATGTGTAGTGATATGGGGACGATCATGGGCGATGGTCACCCTAGCAGAAATCTTCCATGTGTGCCCAGCCTTATAATCGACTGTTTGCTCTGCCCAGATCTTCGCACAGCCTACACAGCAGAATCTCCCTGCCGGACTCTTCTTCCGCTTATGAACAAAAGACTCTCCATTCATTTTTTTGAAGAGGCTTTCATTTCTGGGACACATAATAGCTGGCTTGTCCGTAGGAATGAATGGAGATTATTCCGCAAGAAAATCTTGGCTGGAAGATTTTTCAGGGGGGGTAGTTGTGAGGCTCCCAGAAGGTAGCAAAGGGAAGATCTCCTCCTGGAACATGGACAAGTGCGTATTAGACATGCTTTATGGGAAGGAGACATCTCTGAACATGGTAATAAATTATGTGTTCATACACATTTAAAGTCTCACTTGCATGTGAGCCCCCCCCCCCCCCCCACCTCTGTTTCTCATTCTTTTTCTG